CCCCACCAGTAGTCGCCTAGCCAACCCTGGTAAGTCTTTACTATACATCTGAATAGGCAGTTATCATGGAAGTTTCTCCAACACAGTATATCCCTCGATGCAGGCTAGATAATGAGTTGTTCCGGTTTATAATGATGCTCATCTATGGTGTTGCATCTTTGATCACCGTTTGTGTGTGTCCACCATCAGGTTCAGGTCAGATCCAGCTGTGGCAGTTCCTCCTGGAGCTCCTGTCTGACAGCGCCAACGCCGGTTGTATCACCTGGGAGGGAACCAATGGCGAGTTCAAGATGACGGACCCTGATGAGGTGGCGCGGCGCTGGGGTGAGCGCAAGAGCAAGCCCAACATGAACTACGACAAGCTGAGCCGTGCGCTGCGCTACTACTACGACAAAAATATCATGACCAAAGTGCACGGCAAGCGCTACGCCTACAAGTTCGACTTCCACGGCATTGCTCAGGCGCTGCAGCCGCACCCCACCGAATCCTCCATGTACAAGTACCCCTCGGACCTAGCCTATGTGCCTTCCTACCACGCCCACCAGCAGAAGGTCAACTTTGTATCGCCACACCCTCAATCCATGCCCGTCACCTCCTCCAATTTCTTTGGACCCACCGCTCCCTACTGGAGCTCGCCCACTGCGGGCATATACCCCAACCCAAACGTTCCCCGCCACCCCAACACCCACGTGCCATCCCACCTGGGTAGTTATTATTAAACCTTCCACTCTGACCATCCAATCCTTTCAAAATAAAGTCCACAATTGCTGACCTGCACTCCCAAATGACGCAGAACCAATGAAGACTGACTTGATCGAGGCGTCTGTCCTCTGAAGAAATGATGCTCCTAAATGAAGGATGATGAAAATTGATGGAGAGTTTTTTTTTTTTTTATATTTGTAAGAAAATATAAACAACTGGATGCTATGGTCCAAAATGGAATACTACTTACCCTTACCGGACTAGCAACTGTTTGTTTATGCTTTTTGGATGTGCGTCTAAGTTTCTTTCTCTTTCCTAAAGCTTTTACCTTTTAAAAAAACCTCCCCAAAGCCAAAGCAGGACAGGAGAACAACTCGAGCCTGTCTCCCTCCTCGCCAAGCTACAGCACCAGACATGGGCCTTTTATTTATGGGTCTCAATCTACATCCTCCTCAGTACATTATGCACGTTACGCTTTAAGCATCTGCCTTTTCTGCCTGTCTACGGCCTTGTTGGGGTTTCTTGTTCCCACCACATCTTCTGTTTCCACTGTCTCCGTCTGCTCGCCTGTCCATCTGCATCGTTTTATGTGTGTGTGGAGAGTCTTCTGGAATTCGCTGGACATGGAGGAGCTCTCAAAGAGATGGACTTTTCTCAGCACTGAATGAAATTTGGCAACTGGAATATGCCATTCACAAATTTATTTATCCTCCAAACTGGAAGGCTAGAGAAGAGTTAAACGCCAGAGAAGGAAGCGCTGTATGTTTTGCTGACCTGGGTGAACTCACTTACTTTAAAATCTTTCTGTGTGTTGTGTGCAGAGTTCAAAATGGGCGACGAGTGCAGTTGACTCGAGTGTGCTGCGGAAGCTGAGTCAAGATTGAATTGAAGTAATTTGCAACAATAATTCAACCCAGGTCAGATGTTTTCAGGGGGCCACACACTAGGCTTTTAAATGTTTGCCATGCTGTTAACCCTTCAGCCATGCCATTTCCAGATGTTCTGTTGCTCGACCATGTCAGTATTAATGTGAATGTTTTCTGGTTTGTGAAACACATGTGAAAGGGATCGCCTGCAGCAAAATCAAAATTTGTCAGATGTTTTCATTCTGTCTAATGAAAAAGTCCTTAATTTTAAACACCATGTTTGCTGTACATTTCTGTATCCAAAACATGAAAGTGCCTTTTTTTGGAGATGTTGTCTAAACAACAAGTCTGTATGTTTTTTTTATCCCAAGTGTCTTACAGTGAATCCAGCTTTAGTACATGGCATAATAAGAGATGTTATCCTCACAGTGCCTTAACTGCTGTTTTATACTATATCTTTTATATTCATTATACACAATACAGCATTCAATCTTTTAATGAATAGTAGTACATTTCATAATGATCTATATCCGTGTCTCACCAGAAATCTGACAATTTTTGATTTTGAAGTGCACTCTGTCAATAACGGCTGCCACAGTGTCTCCTTCCTCCATATGTCAGCTCAGAGGAGTGGCCTAGCGTTATGTAATGTTAGCAGACAGTTTAGGTTGCATTTTACCAGGGCTGGATCCTAGTTTGAGAGCAGCATGTGTGTTTGAATGTTAGTTTCTCACTGATCTGAAGCCCAGCAAAATGCACATGAATCTCAAGTCAGGATTTCATCATCATGTAAAAGTATCATGTCTAAATACATATCCATCTTCAGGTGTTCAAAGCTGTTAATAGCCAAAGTATTCCTTCAGAGTTACTGAATATGGACACTTGAAAATAAATTACTTGGGACTGAGTAGTTTAAGAACAAAAACCAAAAAGTATGACGAGATGAAACAAAGAAATCCTCAGATTCGCAAACGCTGTGCGTTTGTCAGACCTATTTTTTATTATTTTATAAGCATCAGTCAACTAGGCATTAAAGCAACTTACTGTATAAATTATGCAGAGTTATTTTCATATGTGACACAGTATAAAATGTCATGAGAATTAATACGAGTTGACCTCGGTCAAAAATGCAAACCTTTTAAGTCCATTTCTGCTAAGTAGTTTGTTCAGCATGTTAAACGTTTTATATCTGTACATTTGGGCAATACATTGTATCATTTTTGTTTTCTTGTTACTGTTATTATTTCTGAAATTTGGTTGTAACATAAGTATCTTTATGTGCACAAGATATTTTCGTGTATTCCCAAAACCACAAATGCCTGCTTGAATCATAATCTAACAGCCTGGAACTTCTCTCTTCTACGTGATTATGATGGATGCACCATTTTGAATCACTTCTTAAGCCAAATAGCCCTGGAATTAATAGCTTTTCATTTAACTAATTCAGGTATTTTTATGCAAAACAATACAAATAGTGTTACTATCCACAACCAGTTTCTGAAAGTTTATAGCTTTAAAAAAAAAAAAAAAAGGGAAATTGTAATTTGTAGCATAAAGAAATGGTTCTGATGTACCCTTAACCTCCATGTTTCACAAGCATCATCAATGAAAAGGGAACTGTGCTACTTCGTATATGCATTGTATTTTGGATAACAAATATATATAAATATATATATATATAAATGTGTATAATTTTTACAATTAACCAATGTATTATTATTATTGTCATTCCTGCAATGTATGAAGTAATAGCTTTTGAAAAAGGGCTTTTGTATAGGGAAATGTGACAAAATAAATGTTTTTACCTCTCAAGTTATCTTCCATTTCCTGACTGGGCTTCACATGATAGAATATTTGGGGAGTAAAGCAGCTAATTACATATTTTCAAAGTGCCTTTCTTCGCCTCCTTATATTTCTTTACATATGCGTCTTTGCATAATTTCAGTGCTTTTTTATGAAGCTGAACATGTACTATTTACACCTGCAGAAAGAAAACGGCTTATAACAAGGAACAAATAACAATTGTAGACTGGATTCAGTTGTGCTTTTAGGAAAGAAAAAGTGACCATCACAGTTTGTGGTTATGCAGCTTTATCTTGATCATCCCTGCAGGCTTGTTATCTGATTGAAATGTAATCAAATGTACGTATGCACAAACTAACCATGAAAAGGTACAAGTTTGAAATGTTGCAGGTTTATTACAGTAGGTACACCTAATGCAGTATAATACAAGATCAATGTAATAATGCATATCTTCATGAAGGTTATAACGTTCAGCTTTTTGTAACTGTTGTTCTTGATTTAGCTTTAGTAATTATTGTAGGGTAGAATTTGTAGTGCTGTTGAATTACATTAACATTGTTTAAAATATTAAAATAAAAATGTCCACCCCAATCAACAAGTAGTAATGATGATAATATATGATCATTTTAGCTCGGAGAAATTAATAAACTCGCGCTAAATGTTGTATTTAAATGTAATTCAAATAAATCATTTCCGGTTGTTAGACAAGAAATAGGAAGGATAATGCAGCATTATTACAGGCTTCCTTTTTATGACGCAATATTTTTGCCATGATAATTACAAATTACATTTTGTCATTGCAAAAGCAGTGACAAACCATGTTTACACCTATCTTCGTTTGTATCAGCAGATCATTCAAGGCCACAAGCAAACGAGGACATTGTAGGTGTAAAAGCACTTTAGGCCGCTGCACGTCAATTCTCCTGAGTGTTTTCTCTTTGCATCATCAAAGTAACTCTGAGCACAGATTCAAATCATGGGTGTTGGGAATGTAACAACCTGTGTGTATCTTTGATGACAGCTACAGCCTTGCCAAATGATATGTTAGTTTCCGTGAACCATGTAGACAAAATATGAATCACATACCCAGAGAACATCCGCCAAGGGACTGTTGTAGACTTGTTTTTATAAAAAAATCTGTCTATGAGGCATCATCTTTAAGCTGCTCTGTCTCTTCATATGATTGCCAATAATATTCACAATCTTTTACTGAGTCCTACTTATTATACTATCACTTGCTACAGCAACATCTCTGGGTGCAGACACACACATATCACACGCAGTTCATTAGAGCGGTTTTAGTGAGACCTTGGCATTCAACAAAACCTTCTAAATCTCAATTAATTCTTGCGTACACTATGTGCTGTAATTTCTCTAATTGGATAGATCTGGTTTCGTGTTCATGACCTGCAGGAAAAATAATGGGCAGCAAGCTCTTGTCTCCCAAACACTTCCACTCTTTTGTGTTTGGATCCCTGTTTGCTGTCACAACTTCGCTTTGTTTACATATGAAAAGCCTCGATAGGGGTTGGCACCTGTCATTACGCCACTTTCACCTTTTTGATCACAGTCCTAATGTGACATTCAGGCTCAGTTATCTAGAGAATAATTAATACAACAACACAAACATTTTTTATTAAAAAATAGCCTTTAATTTACTTCCCCTGAGATAAAAAACAAAACAAAACGTAACAAGAACATAGACAATTGATTTCCGTACTAAAGTCAGTGCTGCATGCAGGCATATTTTAAGTGTTTCCGGACAGTGATTTTCTCTAGCAATGTGTTCACTCAAGTAGAAAAGCACAAGTAAATCACCCACTGTTTGAAAGGAGTGGCCCCTGAGCCCGGCCCTTTACTAGTGCCTCGATGTCTGAATAGTTAAACATACTCTAATGGTTCAAGTCGAAGTGTCTCTGTGTACAGCAGGCTGCATGCATTATTAAAAGAACCACCATATATTTTCTTCACCCTCGTCAAAAGCATGGCCTTCAATGTTGGTCCTTCAAGTAATTGAAGGATTTATTCACGGGGCAAAACATTTGCATAGTTATTCAGCCTCTTTATACTCAGTAAACCTGTTCTGCAGCCAGAGGTAAATACGAACCAATCATCTTCATTTAAATTAAATGCACACAATGTATAATCCCCGAGGAGAGTATTTGGGAAAACTCTGTTTCTGTTGTTGAATTGTAGCTTCACAATCTTCCATGGCCTGACCTCACTTTTGAGAACAGGTTTTTTTGTCATCAGACAGTGACAGGTGTGGTTTTTAAATACAAGTTCTGCATCTGACCCACAGACGGCTTTCTAATCTATGTTTAACACAATAGAATAACAAATAAGCAGGTTGATGGGAGGTTAACGGCCCGTCCACACTACAGCTTCGACAGCTTCAAAAACGGTTTCCAACGCGTCTGCCCATTCACTTTGAATGGGGTGACGTCACTTTTCGCCGAACTGCATTGTGGGAAGCAGAGCGGAGCTTTCCTGGCGTTTCATGCTGCAAAAGTTGAGCAATCTTCAACTTTTGAAGCTTCTGAAGCTTTCGGTGGAAGCGTCAGTCAATCAAATCATATGCCAGTACAAGCTCTAGCCAATCAAACCGCTGCTTGTGTGTCAGGGGCGGGAGATTCATGTGATTGGTTGTTGGTCGAGCTTCAGACACGCCCAGCTCCAAGCTTTTTTTGAAGCTGTAGTGTGGACGGGCCGTAACAGTTTCTACTGTTCATTGCAATGCGTCTTACATCTTAGTGACACTGGGGGGGTCATCGATATTGATCACATCAAAGCCCTGGTTGTCATGTCCATCTCTGGAGTGGTGATGGTGACCCTTGATGTTGTGGTAACAGTAGGCACAGTGTGCGGTGGCCACTGGCACCACCTTGGAAAAGTTGGAGAAATCTACTCTGTACTTGCCCTCCTTGTTTCTGGAGATGATAGGTAGGAAGTTGTAGCCCCACATGATCTCCTGAGGAATAAACGAGGTCCGAACTTGGCAGGCAGAGCTTGTGGACTCTGCTGTGCCGTCTAGGAAGACTACTAGCTCAAAATCTTGTTTATGGAGCGTGTCCACCGCCATCTCGAAGAATGGGCTGCTCTTGTCAATCATGTGGTAGAGCATGAGGGGACACACAAAGAAGAGGTTGTCCTTCCCGGCATCCACTATGAAGTCGATGTTCACCTGGTCCATGATGATTGTCTCCCCGTCAGGTGAGTTTGTTGTCCTCAGCAGCTTGCCGTAGATCTGGCTTCCAATCATTAGGGTCTTGCGCAGGTTGGCCACTCTCATTGACAGGCAAAGAGAACCATTTTTGATGCTGATGACGGCCATGTTACTGAATGAGATGGTCTTTGCTCGCTTTTTGGGTAAAGAGATTTTGGACAGGATCAGTCCACACATGAAGCAGTTAATAATGGCTCCAAGGAGGGACTGGATAATAAGAAGGGCCACAGCACCTGGGCAGTTATGGGTGAGCGATCGGCCTCCATACCCAATGGTTGTCTGGGTTTCTAGGGAGTAGAGAAACGCTGTGGTCAGTCCAAAAATATTTTCAATACATGGAGAGTGGTCTAGTTTGGGGTTTTGCCAGGGTAGATCTCCATTACTGCGGGCTATCCAGTACCACAGCAGGCCGAAAAGGAACCAGCTGAGGGTGAACGAGGCGATGAAGATCAGGAGGACAAAACGCCACCTGATCTCAACAAAGGTGGTCCAGAAGTCAGCCAGTAAGGATAAGTGGTTGCTGTACTTGATGTTTCCATATTCAATGTTGCAGCGACCGTCTTTGGTCACTAGTCTGTTCCTGTGGATTTTTCGCCTCGCCAAGCAGCCATTGATATATTTGTTCAGAGATCCGAACATTTTTCACAAGCCCACGACCTAAAAAACAACAGAAAACAGCAAATGAGTACAAAGTAGAGCACCTTGAACAGTCACTTGAACAGTTATGAAAATACAAAAAGTTACTATTCAGTACATGTGAAATCTATAACAATAGACATCTGGAGCCCAAAAACATTGTGCGAACAATGACAGAATGTTCTAATAACATTGTACAATACAGGTCATTCGCAAACTTGCAGGTTAAAATGATGGTAGCAATAATATTTGATGTTACATTCATTCTTAAATACTGAAATTCAAAAGTCATAGAGCAAAATGTCAAGATGATACAGGAGGACGTGCAGGCACATGTTGTGCCAAGGATCAAACGTTTATAAGCACAGTTGGTGAGGTACAAGATACAATATTTAGGACAGATTAGTACAACAAAGGAATCAAACAAGTTAGGTCAGCTGATGTGAACATTGTTTTAGTATTAAAACTTGGGGTATTTCAAGTATCAAGATTAGTAATTTAAGTACATCAGTACATGAGTACAGAGAGAATAATACATATAATGTCAGTATCTGTCCTGTTTTCCTGCTCTAAATGTGTCACTCCTCTCCCCTGGTTACTTTGCTGACTCTCCCTGCGTATTTGCAGTCTCACATGCTTCCAAGCCGCTCTGTCCCACTGCAGCTTTAATCCTAACTGAAAGGCTATAATCCTGGGTGGAGGCAGCACTGAAGTAAAGACCTGAAGCTAATGGGAAACAAAACTTTCCAATGAAGTGTAACACATAAGTGCCTCGAATAAACCCAAAAGATTTTGGTCGCATGCAAGTGTCTCAACACAAGGATCTGCTTTGTTTGCTAGAATGTAATGCTGCAAAAAATAAACGTGGCATTACAATAATTTAGGAGCCCAGCTGCTCACAGACATAACAGTCATTGATGTATTCAAGCTCTCATAACTCTGGCGCTTGATGGATGGTAACTGGCAGTATTGGCTTTACAGAGGTTTCCAAACAAGTATGGACTCTGTTCTTGCCAAGCCAAGCAAACTGCCCATTTGGATCATGGTGTGCTTGTTAGTGAGTGTGAAGAAATACACAACGAACAGTGCTGTGAGTTTATGGTTTTGTTTTCAACCCTTAAAGCTCACATCCAGTCATTTTGCCAACAAAAAATAACCTGACGATTATTCAGTGTAGCTCGTTTGCAAGCTTTAATCTTTTGGAAGCACACTTAGTCATTACACACCTAATCATTAGGTCAGCATGTTCTCATACCGTGACCGGATAAATGCTTAAATCATTTCAGCTATTTAGTATGTTAATTGTATGTTTCACAATGTACTCAAAATGACTGCTTTGCATTGGAAAACAACTGGGCGAAGAATGGAAATGGACTCTTAAAAAGCATCCACAGAATATACTGGAAACACAACTTTCACTCTACTTTACTCTCATGACAACTCTAGCATGTCGACCTTATGTAACATCTGAATTTATAGACTTAAATGTGTTGCATTATGTTGTGTTCATTATGTTATTTTTGTTTTAGTTGTACTAGACTTTGTTGTAGCTTTACTTGATGCAGTCTTCTTGAATGTACCTTAAATGCAGTCATTGCGGCATTCAAATAAATGTCTCTTAGATTAAAAGCTTTGAGACTCTTATAACTTTTGTAGATCTGGATTTACCCTGTATATTGTTTTACTATCTATTTACTGCAGACCCATTTAATGTTGAACTTATTTCCCACTGTAATATACAAAAGTTAAATTAAACAATTAAAACAGACAAGAAAGTATGTAAAAAGATTATCAATATTAGACTTACCTTTTTTAAACTACCTAATTATTTTCCTTATAATTCTGAAAAATGTTTAAGGCTCATTCTAATATAATAATACCCACAATTATGTGCAGGATATGTGTTACATAATTCTAGCTGCAGCATGGATTGAACAGTTGGCCAACTTTTGATTTAAAAGAGATTATTTGAAATACATCACTAATGAGCTTTAACGCCTTATTTGTACTAAATGCTTTCATTTGTCAGTGCATTACAGCTTAAGTAACAAAGAAAAAGTTGTAGAAAAATATTTCCCTTTGTTTATTTCAAAAGCATTCGCAGTGGCAATCCGATTTACAGGAGATCAAATGCACTACTACTGAACTTCTCACACAAGACATCACACTATCACCATAAACAATCAAATATCTTACCCTGAAAGCACATTTCTCTAGTTCAAACTCACCTCTTCAGTTTGAAGTGAAAGTAGGTTGCAGCACATCCAAAGGTTGTTGAATAGCAAAACACAGCTCCACCTTCCCCTGTCTCCGTCTGTGTGTTTCTACTTAACAATTGATTGAGACAGTAAAGGTGTGTCCTCCTATAATGCGTGTTCACCGCCACCTGTGGGTTTTATACTGTCACGTCCCGTTGTACTGGGTTCATCCAGGTGATGTTTACGCCCACAGAGACATCAAGCATCCCTCCGCCCCAGAACACACACGCATATCCTTCCCCCGCTCCTAATAAGATGTTTACCCCACATACGCCTGGCACCAAGGGCCAAGCTGACCTTTATCCGCCACACTCCCAGTCTGAGCTTTGCTCTGGATTTTCTTTTGGTTGTTCCTATTTTATGATATATTTGAAAGTAAGCTTTTTTCTCACAGTTGCACTCATTCTAAGAAAAAGGGAATGTTTACAATGTAAATGCAAAACCATTATGTTCTGTATACTCTGCATGAAAGACTATGTTTGTATTTACTATAGGCATACACACCTTTATTGGTATGTTTTTGGGATAACATCATTTTTTCTTGTTGTTTAGTAGTAAAGATGTAAGCTGTAAAGCCGGAGGAGGGTACAACACTGCATGTTGTTCCTAGATTACTGTATGTGCCCATGTTAGAAAAGAGCCTATAACTCACATTCATTTAAACATGTTTTTTTCCCCGTCTCTGAGAATGATCATAAAAACATGTGCAACACATCCCGTTGTCTTTATTAATCAAAAATCAGCGCTTCACAGCCTAGTGCGGCACAATGGTCTTCCTCCAAGCAACAAACATTTCCCCCCGTCCCCCCGAACCACAGAGCTGTATGGTGATGAATTGTAGTGGCCGTAAATAGGTTATGCTGTGAGACAGCAAATCTGCAGAGATGCAAAAAGAAGATGCTCCATATCTAATCAGATTGCTCCCCAGGGTTGTTCAGGAGCTGAATCAGTTTGTGAATCCAGGATGCTCTGAAAGCTGAGAGGAGAAAAGTTGTGAATTGTGATGGGAGTCATTTTTCAACTCTATTGTTCCCAGAAGAAAGTGACAGAAGTGGCGTGCAGTATTACCTTACATGCTGCAGAATGTGTATTCTATTGACAGCCACAATACATAACTGTTGACACACAACAAGAACAGGCTTCTGGGTTATTTTTCTAATTACATGCTATTGTAAAAGGAAGACAAGCCTTTTGTATCAAGCTTTTTTATTCAAGAGATGAATTGTCTGTCAAAATGACTGGCTGTTTGGTTAATCAACCCCCGTCATTGTAATCTCTTTTATATCACACAAAAGGATTGCGAATAGCCACCTCACCAAATAGCTCCACTGATTGCTGGGCAGGTTTAGCAACTTAAGAGCTGTGGAGGCTGCCATTGATTGACAGCAATGCAATCTGAGAAAATGACTGCCAGCAACTAATAATGACACAACAAGCAAATATTTAATGACATTTTATGACAGGTAAAATATAATAATTGTATTTGTCAATAAAATCTGTGAAGGTGAATCGGTCCATTTAAATGGTAGAAATTGCATTATTGAAGCGATTATACACTGCATTAATGTACAAACAGGAACAATTTGTCCACATATGAACACATTAAAGACCCTACTGTTCACTACCTGTTTTTACTGCCTGCTGCAACTTTTGTTATAAACTGAGACTGTTAATAGATGTTTACTTTTGCAATTTCACAAGGCAAGGCAAGGCAAAGCAAGTTTATTTATATAGCACCTTTCAACACAAGGCAATTCAAAGTGCTTTACAAAAAATGAAAGACATTAAGAAAATGGCATTTAAAATCAGTCATTAAAAAGAAAAGCTAATAAAAGAAACATTAAAAGAAAAATTACATGGTTAAAAGTTACAGTGCAGTTTAAGATGTGAATAGTTCAATTAAAAGTCTTCAGCCTGGATTTAAAAGTAGTCAGAGTTGCAGCGGACCTGCAGGTTCCTGGGAGTTTGTTCCAGATATTTGGAGCATAATAACTGAACGCTGCTTCTCCATGTTTAGTTCTGACTCTGGGGACAGAAAGCTGACCAGTCCCTGAAGACCTGAGAGATCTGGATGGTTCATAATTTAGCAGGAGGTCAGAAATGTATTTTGGGCCTAAACCATTCAGTGCTTTTATAATCACTAAGCTGATTAGCACATGAAAAACATGTTTGAGAGATCAGCACCTTGAGCGCTAGATGTTCCCGAAGATTGTAAACAATGGTAGTTTCTCCCTTCATCAATTGGATCACTCAAGTGTAAATGTTAATATCAGTTTCTCACAATCGGCTTTAGGGTCAAGAGTTCACCTTCACTGTAAAGAGATAAGTACAGAAATAAGAAAGATTAAAAAAAGATACAATGGAGAAGAGAATCTGTCTCATACTTTTATGTTGAATGCTATGTACTCTTATCTTAATCTTCAGACTACCCTGTATCTGTGATGGAATGGTTTTTCACTGTTCTACTAATGATACGGTTATCCTGTAACTCTGTACATTTCCCGTCTGTGGGACTCATAAAAGATTTCTGTTTCTGATCCAGAATCAAAACCAAATTGAAACAATGATAACAATCACAGTCACCACTTGTTAAGAACCGAATCCAGACAATAACTTTATATATTTGTTATAATCTCTGTTATTACCTCTGCCAAGGAGGTTTTGTTCTAGGCTTGGGATGTTTGTTTGTTTGTTGATCTGTTTTTCAGCAACCATTGGGAAAACACTGGCTTGATTGTCCTGAAACTGAAAAAGTTGTTGCATGGGCCAAGAAACAACACATTACATTACTATTTAAGAATACTTTTTCAATTTTAGAATCGGCTTGGGGGGTTATATGCGTTCTCCAAGTGCCCTTACAATATTATAAACATATCATTGATTTTAATCAAACAAAATTAGACCTGAAATTAAAATGTTATGGCAAATTCGGGGCAGAAGAAACACGTTGTGAAAAACACTGACATATTATCACGTTTAGGTTAATGTTTGAAATCTATTAGCAGACACATAGCTAAAGTATATTATCATACATTTGGAGTTTCTGTCAACTTAAAAATTGTAAGCATAATAAATCTCTTACTGTATGCGCCTTCTTTTGGTCTCTTCTTTTGGTCTTCTTAGTTGCTTTGTCGGTCGGCTTTTTTGGGCTGCAGCTATTTTATCGGAGCTCTTTCAATGAAAAGCCCAGTCAAAAACCAAAATAATGAACAGACATTATAAAGTGTCTCCCACTTTTAATATTCAAATTGAAAGTCACAGTCACCAATATATTGACAAAGTCAATATGTATTCTAGTTAAACCCCACGGCCCCGCGGAAGGGGGCAAAACGCAACATCTTGCAAGAAACAGCGTCTGAGGGCTTCTTAATATTTAACAAACTATGAATGTGTCATACCCACTTAACGGGAAGAAACTCAGCTATCAGACAATATTAACCGTTTTTAGCTAAATTAAACAAAAGGGCAATAACAAAGGCTCTGAATTAGCCCTGAGCGAAAAAATTCTAACGCACTTAGCACAGAACTCAAGGTAAAATACCCTTATTACTTATCGGATCTGCACCAAAAAGATTACACAGATTCCAGACATATAAGTATCATCACTGAGCGATCAGAACTCACGGCCAAACGACAAGAAACAACAACAAAGAAATGTGCTTTACGGAGCCAAAACGGCTAAAAACGTCTTACCTTAGCTGTTGTTCTGATCAAAAGTTGTGTTCAATGGCATTAAAACGAGAAAAACGCTGCTGAAGGTTAATCCAGAGGTTAATCCATCATCATATTTATGGCAATAAATGTAGTTCTCATTCATAACACTCCGTTCGATGTCTCACTATGGGATGCGCCTCATCACGGAGCAAACAGAAGCATCAATCTCATTACGCCAATCCTGATTGGCTGGTGATCTTGATGTCAGCGTCAGGGAATCCACCCCCTATAAGTAGCTTGCGCTACGTCGCATGCGTCATTCAAACACCTCTTCTCGCTTCAGAGCACATCTCGATGGTAGCCGGGCTAGCTTAACAGTCCACAGACTGAACCCAAAGCTAACTTTCGGTCGACGGGCGCTCGCCGGCTACTCTTCTGCTTCGCAAGAAGACTGTTAATGCTAACACACCAGTTAGTATTACAATCGACCTCGCCGTTTCTTTCCTCGGAAATTAAGGTAAGGTTTTGATTTTTTCAAACACACCTGTTGCTAGCTTGCTTTCCCTCTCTACTGACACCACGGTAGCGAGGAAGTTTTTTGCGTCGACAACGTACCTGTTACGAGCGGGTCCTCTCCACGCCACGCGGCGAACAAGATGGACGCCTCTCTCCCTCACACCAGAGGAGTCAGGGACTCGGAGGCTCGGCTCTGCGGCTGCGGGTTGAAAATATCAGGCACAGGGTCTGCTCGTCCTGCCTCGGGCTGGAACACGCCCAGGAGGCTATTGACAACCCCGGCTCGTGCGGGCATTGTGCCCGCTTCACCGTAAAGAGCCTCCGCCGACGGTTAGCACGCCAAGCTAGCTTGTCGGGACAGGACCCCCTCATGTCCGCTGATTTGCCGGCTGGCAATCAAGACGCAGGGGCGTCCGCCGCAGAGATTGAGCCCCGCACTGTGTCAGTCTGGGGCTCATCAACAGCGGCAGCTGCCGAACCGGAGTCCCGCGCCGTGTCAGGCTGGGACCCGGTGGCGGCAAGAGACGCGAGAATGGAGCCCCACGCTTTACCAAGCTGGGGCTCCCGGCTGGACCTCACCATGGTTTCGCCCACGGGGGATGTCCTGGAATTAGATTATATGGAGGAAGAAGAGGGTGCCTCTGAGTTCCTCCTGTCTGATTCGGATGAGCAAGAAGACGATATCTTCGTGTCATCGGCTCAGGCTGCAAAGCCGGGAGAGATGGCTGCTCTCCCGGGCGATAGCACCAGCTTCGCCCTATCTGAGCATGGACCTGCAGGCCGTGTGTCAGCGTGCCGCGTCCAGACAAGACATCCCGTGGCCCGAAATGGCCAAGGAGACCTCCAGGTCCCGTTACGAGGGGAAACATTTCCCCCAAGCAACGAGGACAAAGAGGCAACTCCTTCCGGTCTTCCCGGAGATGTTGGATGAGGTGTCGGTCTCGTGGAGAGACCGGCCCTTTAGCAACAAGGCCCCAA